CTTGTAACTAATTAGTAACTGTACACAATAATGCGATTGTTCAGGATACTGTGTTACTTTTATATTTAACTCTGAAAATTGAGAAACCGATAACATTTAAAATGTAGTCACAAACGTAGAAAAAAAAGGGATTAAACAACGACCTACTAAGTTATTCCATATTGTCATGGCCTTGAGTTTCCCCATGAAAGGCGTACATATACAACTCATCCTGTATTGTTTGCTTATTTGAATCTTCCCATTGTTCACTTGGTATTGTTGGCTTGAATCTTCACATTGATGTTAAGGACTGAGATTGACCAGTCTCTTATTGGCATATTTTATTTGATATAAACAGTATAATAGTATCAATAAAATCAAATTAACAAACCATAACTTGAGTTCAAACAACTAGATTGTACGTAGAAAAAAAGAACTATCAAATCAAATGCTTGTCGACTAGATAATCAGGACTGTATGAAATAGTTTTAAGAGTTGCTATGTAGATTTGTCTAACAAAACGGTAATACTGGGCATTGAAAACAATTTCTACCTTGTTAATTTGTTGAAATGAATCAGTAAATTCTAGGATAATAAACATTTATAATAAATTATTAGACTAGAATACATATTTACTGTGTATCTATAATGAAACTCTAATCTAACCATATTCAAGAGATTTCGTTTGGTTCTATTAGAATTAATTTAATTTCAGGCTGTTAGCCAACCAGGTAAAATTTTACCTGTTTAAGACTTTGATTTATGAGAATTGTTTAATCATTTTAGTGCTTGTGCATCTCCTAACGTTGCTCCACTACCTTGTGGATTGGACTTCTAGGTCAAAGGTTCTGGGAGTGGTCCCATAAGAAAACCACTTGATTCGGTTTGGGCGCCTGGGTAAGATCCCGGCCCTCACACAAATCAATAGGTTTGTGTGACGCATATATATTTGGTACCTCTTTGTACCAATGTTTATGTTTAAATAAATAATAACTAACCGTCACAAATCCACTTTAAATATCCTGTTTTTGCAACATAATAAACCTTCGTGGTTAACAGATGACATACATTTCAAAATAGATTTATTGATTACAATCAAATCAAGGAAACCTTTCAAGCTTGAAGGGTACGTTATGTGAGTTAATCTTTCCGGATATCTTTTAGTGAACGCTCTTGTATCATATATGCTTATTTAGTTCACATATTCGATTAACAGCACCTTGGTAACCAACTCCGATATTTTTAACTATACCAATTTCTAGAATTATTACTTCTTAGCACTCTATATTGGTCGGTGTATAACAATGACCGTTTTTGTCAGGATTTAGTTAACCATACTGTTGATATTTAGGATGGCTGACTTGATGCGCAGCGTTTTCGACGGTTAATAAATGTGTTAGCGCAAAAATTAAACCGAACATTCAGGTCCTGATTGATGTGATAGTGAGTGACCTACAAACTGACTTCCTGTTATAGGTTATGACATTTCACCATGACTTTTTTGTGTTGATATTTGTATATAAGAATGTTATTTTATTAGATAAAAGACTATTTTTCTGACCGACGATCGTGCCTTTAACTTCATATCATTCAGGGGCTTAAGTCGAAAATTCAGTCTCGTGAGCAGCTATCAACTCACCCAAATCCTACCATTGTATATCTCCGATCGATCGGTATTCTCTAACTTTAACAATCGGAAAGTTACTTTACTGAAACATAAAATCCTACCCTATAAGTGTAGTACCCAGAGCTTTTGGACATTCATTTGATGGGTGTACTGCATTGTTTTGTGATTTCCCTTAAACATTTTATTTTAAACATCTCAAGCCACTCGGAACAATATGCTATGATCATACCAGTGTAGCGCAACCCGTGTCGGATGAAACACGAATATATAACGCTGGAGCTTGAAATGAAGTCTCTAAAAAAAGTCCACTACTGCGAAGCACACAGTGAGCGAACGGAAAGGTGATTGAAAATGTTAAGTACGATACATTAATTGAAGGCAGAAAACATTGCAGGTAATTTCAACCACCAATATTGTATTTGATATATCATTGTTTTCACATGTGCATTCGGCAATATGCCAATCACTCTAATTCGCTTAAATTAAGTCTACTATTAATCTACGTTTCCACACTCTGATATACGAAGAAGCCCATATCTCCAAAAAAAACAAAGTATTTCACCTAATGGAGCATTTATTTCAAGTTGTAATACACATTGTTGATAAGAGTCAACAAGCATGAATTTCAAATCTACAGGTTTCTTGAGATGATTACAAATAAAGTAATATCTAATCTCATCTGATCACTTCTGAAAACTATAAATGTATTAATGATGAAACGTCAGATCTCCTTATTTAGTATCCCTAAAGCAGAAACATTATGGATTTTAGCCATAAACAACTTCAAGAACATCTTGAAAAGGTTATAAAAACAGCAGCATTTTGAGTTGCTTTACCAAAATCACCAGTATCCTAGACGGAGAACGGAAATTATCCCTCGATTATTATTAGATGTTTGAATCTTCCAACTGACGCAAGTACATCCAGCTAACAAGTTTCAAATAGGATGAAATACACGTTCAGGATTCTGTTGCTAGCCACAGTTCATCTCTGCTTATAAAACTTGACTTAATAGCAATATCTATGCATTTCGCACAGGATTGACATATGCCAATAAGACTGATACATCGCAGTCCTAAACATCAATTGAAAGATTCGAACGACCAATACAAATGAATTACACTTCACTCTATTGCGCAAGCCAGAATCTATCTGGACTCAGTATCTAAGTGAATAACACGATGGTGTTTGAGGCGAATAGTACTAAATTCTTGTCCCGTAGTGAACATCAAATCTGAGACGGAGGTAAACCCAGGTGGAGTCCCAAATAGGATGAAACGCACATCCTGCGTCCTACTGTTAGTTACTACCCATCTCTCCTTATAATGAGGTTATCCGACACTTAAAAAACCTAATGAAGTTATATAGGTATAGAATTTATACTGTGATCTAACGATTCAGGTTGAATAATTATCAACGAAAGTAGTTTCCAGATAGGGATAGATAGATGAGTATTTTTCGAAAGCGAGTTGTTATATCCGAGTGGAGATTAAATTACAGGTAACTTCCGAGGACTATTCATGGACTAATATTCTACAAATATTCTTATTGTATAACTACTCAACAATTACACTATGTATATTTATATCCCTCTTATGACAAGCTTTATTTTGACCTATAACTTATTATTGTATGATTTACGGTTCTTAAGTTATGTTCAGTTTATTAACTACTGCCTCCCATATTCACAGCCACTTTTTGGGCTTATTTGTGTACAAATATTATTTCCTATTTTATGGTACGTTGCGGTCTGTGTGATTGATATATAAACCAAGTATGCCTGAAATAAACGATCTGCTCTGATTCGGAAGCTGGTATCTTGTTCTGGACTCAAGTGGGAGGGCTCGTAGGACATAGGACCAATAAGGACACTAAACTGCCCACACCGGTTGAACGTCATTGGTTGGCCTAGTGTAAAGATTCGTATAAGTCGTATCCGGATTGGTAGATAAATCGTGTGATAGAAAAACCAGACACCCAAGGTCATAACAATTGGCGACGGGGATTTTGGCAAAAACAAAATAATTGGCAGACGCAAGGTCATAACACGAGTAAACATTATTAAGAAACTCCCAACAGTTATTTTTGATCTAGTAATGTTTCGATCACTTAACTTATTGCAGAGAAATGAATCATGTTAGTGGCTTAAATAAGTAACTAGATATACTGCAATTAAGGTAGCAACATTTATTTAAACTTCACAAACTTAAGTATGTTAATAATCATATTAATAATTGTGATTTTAGGTTGTATGTAGCTGATGAGAAACCGTGATAGAATGAATTTATTTTATAAAGCAAATCTGGTTGTTCTTGTTCTGTTTAAATTAATCAGGCAATCTGGTTGTATGAAGGTAGCAACTCTTCATAATTAAGTTAAATCTCTTAAGAAAGTTTACAGAAATCCAGAATACTTTTAAGCTTAATTTACTGTAAACATAATAACACTTTTAGAAGTCAAACAGCTGATTAAGTTACACTAAGGATTGTAGTCGATGATGATGCAAAACTAGCATTACAATTATTCATCTTCCTTTAATTTTAACACTGCACCAGATAATTGATATGATGCCTGAAGACTAGACCTAACAGTCAGTTCTTGATTATTTGGAGAATGAATTACTTACAAGCTTATTTACGTTAATCACCTATGATAGATTGATTATGTTTATTTTCTGTTCATATCCTATATACAGACAAGTTACTTCGTTACACAGAAAAATGTATCCACGTAGTTGATGTTCTTGTCTATGATTTATAATCGTTCGGGGAATTCGGTCAAATAATATGCTCTCTTAAGTAGCTAACAATAAGCCACACCGTATTGGTGCATTCACCTACCAATTACCATTTTACTCATTGATATTAGCAAATGAGAATTTCCTCTCAGAAAAAACCTCCTCAATAACAGTTTTTATTCGCTTATTTCTCTCTTTTTGTACGGTAATTCGTAACAAATAACATTTGTGCTAAATCTTATGCTGATTACGTCTACGTGAGTACTGTGAACTGTTTAATGAATCTGCACATTAAGATTTGTTGAGATTGAGTAGCAACCGATCAGGAAGCCTTACTAAATGAATAAAGCAAAATAGAACAAGTGGGTAGGAAATTACTAATAAGGTTAATGAGATGTCGATTTATATGCAAGAGGGAAGTAAAATAAACAAGATTCGGTGTCAATTTTAATATGATCGACTGTGAATCAGAAGAAACAATAGGTCACTGACTAGATAGTTATTCATGATTTTGAATATTTACAGCAAAACTTTCGGCCATCTTATAAGAGTAAGATAGGGAGATCTAAGGAAGACTTCTTATTTGTATAAAAATTGTTTGATTTTAACCGAAAAATAGCAAAATATGACAAGGTAAGAAAAAAAGGTAAGGAATCTTTATATTATTTTAAATGACGGGGACAAAACTCCTGTCGAAACATCAAAATCCATACATGCAGAAATTCGTAGTAAATCATTCGATGAAATTCTTGCCTTCCATTCCGATGGAAAAAGAAAAACACCCTGTTGTGTTCCACGAGATTTCCAAGAAATAGGCTCATTTAAAGTTGTAATTTTGTTGGGACCAGCTGGTGCATACCACCAAGTTTCGTTGGAATGGTGTGTAGCAGGGGTATTATAGAGCCATTCACACCACAATGCTATACCATTAACAGATGAGGATGATGTAGTTAAATTGTTTTGTTTGCAATGAATTAACTTTTTAGAATCAGCATACTGGAAATCTGAACCTAAATCGGAACTGTTTGGTAGAACCATATCAAAAATGACACAAGCATCGGATCTAGCCGTATTAGGATATTCCCAGAGAGGATGTGGTTCAATTAACTCATCACTTTTAGCCGATGCATTTAAAACTAAATCATCAAATGGGCGTAGATCAAAAGATTCACAAGTGAATCCAACTGGCGAACGAATGCGCCAAAGATTTTTGAAGTCAACCAAAATAGCATAGATGCGCAGTCTAACAGGGCTAAATAAATACAAAGATGAGTAAGCTGGGTTATGTGAAAGCAAGTTCTGAAAGGCATACCAAAAGTATAAAGAATCCCAAGGAAGTATTGATGAACTTATGTACGGTTCACTGATCAAAATTAAAGTTGATTCAGTCGGATTAGTTTTTGTGAACATGTTAGGAGTCATTCTTGAGAAAACTTCCTCAATCGATTGGCAACTCTCTATAATCGACCGGAACGATGAAAACGACTTATAAATACGATCTAAAAGTAAACACGATGATGGTGATGTATCCAAATGGACTAATTGAAACTGCTTTACATGTTTTGCTAAACTTTTTCCGAGTAAAAAAGGTAAATATGTACAATCTGATACCACTAATACATTAAATAATGAAGTTGGGTATTTTTTTGATACCGTAATAAGTGAATTAATGATTTTAGTGGAAAATGTTTTGTAATCCGACGAATTCAACTCAGAAATGCGCGTTCGAGGCCATACACGATGAAGATCACATGAGCATGATAAGCAGGACATTTCATTTCGGATATCAAGTGAAGAAGTATCAGGTTTAGCATTAAAATTAGGTACAGGAAGTATGTCGAATCGCATGGACAATGAATCATGAAGATATCTGACCATAAACGACTCATTTTTGATTAAATAGTGAGCAGTCTTGGGAAAGTACACCGCTTGCATCCAATGATCTCGCCAAGCAGAATTAGGATCTCCTGCCCAAGTGGGCGCAACACTGATTGGTGGAACTGAGTTTGTAGGCTCCATTTGTAAAGACCACCACACAATAAATGCATGCGCTGTACCAGACTCAAAAGTAGTACCTAAAAATGATTATTTTAAAGACAGAAAATAGCTGTAAAGCATTCGATGAGCAATAGTAGTGATTTGAAACGCTTAGTTCATTGAAAGACCGTAATGAAAACGTATAGTTCATCTGAAATATATAATCCATCAGTGTAATGCAATTCAAAACTTACAAGACCACAGAAAATGATCACAGAATTCGAGGATACCGCAAAGTTACTTACGTCATGTAAATAATAATAACAACAATAATAATAATAATATATTGTATAGTGCCTCTTTACGAATAATTATTTTGACTTTATGTTCTACTGGATATAGGATACTGACGTTTAAACGTGTAAGTACGATTTACAGTGAGTTTAAGAAACTGGTATGGGCGTTTCGTAGATGTCAGTAGTTGGATAAGTAAAGAAAGGGTAGCATAAAACTGTGAGAGTTGACTGATGAAATGACTAATTATCATAACAAATCCTGTGCTGACGGAGTCAGTCAGTCAACAACGTAAAACTTCGTACGTACGTACATTAGTTCGAGTTGCTATACCACATTAGCATAGAGATACAATTGTCAATTCAAATCCCATTGCGGTAGAGGTAGTAAGAGTGTAAGCAGTAATCGGAAAGATTAGGGTTTGAAGATGTTATTTAAAGAGTATAATCCAGTGAAATAAATTTGGAAAGAGGGAAAAAAAGAGACACGAAGAATTCAGATGATTAGAATCTGGGAGAACACAACGAGTGGATCTACCTGCACCATTGCAAACGATTTCGAGCCATGTCATTCAACTTCACTAACCATCTCGAATGACATGGCTCAAAATCGTTTGCAATGGCGCAGGTTCATCCACTGACGGAAGTGATGACTGATGCTTCTTAACTTTATAGACCACAGAAAGTTGAGTCCTACCACAGTATTTTAAGTATTTATGTTGGATGAAACATTAAGAAAATATTTATGACGCTAATTACTCATAATCGTTTTACAGGCACTGATTCCGGAGTTCTCCCATTTATTTAAAGACCTATAGTAATGGTAACAATAGACCACAAGGTTTAAGAACCTAACTCATTACCTTACCTTTTGGATTCATGGCCAAACAGGTGGTTGCTTGACACCGTATTACTTTAGCGTAATTATGGAGGGACTAATTTTGCGAACCATCTTAAATAGTTGATTACATCATAACAAAGCATCTAGTAACTTTATTTGTGTGAAGTGAAATTGCGATTTTCCAAAAGAAAGATAAGTAATCACTAATCTCATCATACCCAATAATGTAGCAATAGGCTTACTAAAAATGAGTAGAAACTTACATTCTAAATCTATCACATCGTTTAATTTAATAAGATCTGCAGGCGGTCCAAAGTTAAATCGTTTAACCAATCGAGGACTCTTCAAAAGACAGCGTAACTGCCTATCACATGAAATTAATTGACTATCTTCTAATTGAATCTCCGATACTTGAATATCAAATGTTGATGGAAGTCCTGAGCATGATTCAATTTCTGCATGCTGAAACTCTTTTATATCTATAGTCGTATCACCAATTTTATATTGAAATGGAAATAAGCGATGGTGAGACCAAAGAAATTGAGATTCAACAACCTAAATAATAAACAACAATCCGGAACTTGATATTTTGTACGTCGATGTAAATCCTAGGAATTAACCCATGAACTATAGTTGTAAAAAACAGAGTTTAGACAAACTAGTCTTAAAGGGAAAAACGGAGAAATACTATTGACTACAGACTGAGGTGTTTTTAGATGGTAAGGTATCTCTAAAATAAAAACAGATATCCCCACTACATCAATTTGTTTTTTTTTGGTAAAAATGAGATAGATGCATTTGCTTGATCAATATATCTCACAGATAAAGAAGTGAACGTAGTGGTGGTACACATAAAATTCAGTATTCTCAATCCATGTATTCATTGTATATTTCAAGTTTTTTTCATATTCTTTTTGGGGGGTACTTAGTGGTTAGACAGTACTGAAGATTTCAATCTATGTGAAATATTTTGGCCTGCTAAACCGTTATTTTTAAATATTAAATATAACCTAGCTATTCTAAAACTGTAAGTAACGCTTAAACTTAGTGTACTTAGTATTTATATTTTAACTGAACAATGGGTAGTTTTAGTTAAAATATCGAAGCAAATCGATAATTAAGTGGACTGAATTACAAGTACCTGTAATCAAAGACTTCAATATGTAAATACTGATAAATGCTCTATTTATTGCCTTAAACTGGTCATATATTGTTGGTGGCAAAGTTATACTGAATCTTCACTTAATCTTTATTTTTAAGCATGTAGCCGAACGGAAGTAGATGTATTACGCCTCAAGTGGTTGTGTTCGCAACTCTAACATTACGTTTGGCCATTGTGATACAACTTTGCTATATAACTCGATGTTCGGAAAGAGGGTTCCTGAGATGTCTATTACTAACACGAAATGTACGGAATAAATACCCTACAGAGGTTCCTAATATTTTAAGAGATCCGTTTGTGCGCTGTGCTAATACTTCACTACAATGCTTTCAAGACCATAAATGAAACTATTTCCATCCTCTTCTTTTCCTGACCCACTAACTAGAGTGAAAACACCTGTTTACTAGATGAAGCTCTTGATGTTAACCCAGTATAACCAATCCAAATACACTGAATTTGTCGATTATACGTCAATGAAAAAGGATTAGAATGCCTAAACTGAGTATTTGTCATTAACACAAAACATTGTAAAATTGTATTGAAATTCTATGAATAGTGCTTACACTGAATAATTTACCGTAACAAAATGTCAACCTGGTCGACAGTAATTTGCTTTTTATAAGTTGTAAATGAGATTGCATACCTCCAACGCTAAGCTATGGTTGGAATTAGATTAAGCTGAGTGTTATAATTCCTCTCATTATGACCCAGCTAGTCCTATCGCTCAGTATTCTTGGACACCAATTCACTCGACAAGTCCCCAAATTAGAACACGGTTGGATAGGAACCAAATTATATCCCAAATAACAAGAGCAGATGGAAGTAACAATTAAAATAAGGAAAACGTTAGTATATTCATAGTTTTTACACGAGAAGATTCTAGAGTCTCCTCCGAGCATCCACCAGCACTGATTGGCTATTTCCTAGCCAATCAGCGTGCCCTCAACATAATCCTGCACGGAACATGCTTTAATCCAATCTATAATATTCCACTGACATTGAGTGACTTAGATTCCCCTTTTTCACCATGTTATCACGGACAATTCAGGGGAAAATTATAAGGAAGAGAATAACAGTGGTTTAGATCAGTTATTCCAAGATTTACTTTCTGACTATTAATGTCGAGATAACGACTGTGTGAGGGAACAAATCGAACCTGATAGACAAACGTTGTACGTAGGTAGAATGTCCAACGGATCATCTGAAATTGCTAGTAAACTATGTTTCCACCTATATTCGGTAGTAAATATGATATGCGTAGGGGACAATGCACAATATTAGATTTTATCTTCTAAGAGCAGTAGAGGCAGGTATCCATAGACAGTTCATCACAAAAAATGATGAACTGTCTATGGATACCTACCTCTAATCCTGTACCCACTCTGGATGGTGAGCAGATAGAAGTAGTCGAGAAGTTCGTGTATCTAGGTAGCTGCATAAGTGCTGGTGGGGGGTGTGAGTGATGAGGTCAATGCACGTATAGTGAAAGCCAGAGCGGCTTAGACCAATCTGGACCATTTTTGGAGCCTTTGTGATGTTAGTCTAGCTGTAAAAGGTCAGATCTACAACGCGTCGGTGAGAGCAGTTTTGCTCTATGCTTGTGAAACCTGGCCTCTCCGAGTTGAGGATGTTAGACGACTCTCTGTGTTCGATCATCGCTGTCTCCGAAGGATTGCTGACATCCAGTGGCAACACCATGTTAGGTAATGCAGAGGTTCGGCATCATGTGTTCGGACACAGAGACGATAATGCAATTGGTGTCACCATCTTGAAACACCGACTTCGGTGGCTTGGACATGTTCTACGAATATCGTCTCAGATAATTCCACGTCGTGCATTATTTGCCGACGCTGAGACTGGTTTGAGAAAGCGGAGAGGTGATCAGTGTATGACATGGTGTCGTGGTATGAAAGAAATCTGCAAAGGGCTGGCCTCTGTTGGTTCTTCACGACTCCCTGGCTGGGGTTCGAGAGATGGTGCAACCCAGTGGCTAGAGACGTTATCAGATATGGCTCATAATAGAAGCCAGTGGCGATCCTGCTGTAACCCTTTACTTTCTTCATAAAAAGTGGTTGCTTCTTCCTTAACTGAAAGATTTCTATTGGTTGTACCTTTTCGTTTCCCCAATTATTATTACGCTACCTTACCTTATTCTGTTCGTTATTGTTCTTTTTTTACGCTCCTCACCTTTTTTCCTTCTCTTCGAATTCCCATTGTTTTGTATGGCGTATATATATTTGGTGCCCTCCTGTACTAATATTTATGTGTTCAAATAAATAAATAAGGTATCCATAAATCTAGATATCCGCATAACATACAACACCATGATGTACACTGAAGTTGTGAAACCTAACAATGCTGAGGAAGTTCAACAGATCCATTAGTGCAATAATCAAACAATGTTAGTTTTTTCATTTATTAGAAACAATACGAAAAAATATATGAACTATTTCCATTTGTATTTTTAGTAGAGCCTTGTTTTTCCGGGGTAATTTCTTGAAATACTGAGTCATTTGTTTTGGTATTTGTTTATTTATTACAAACACTTCCCTACCCTAAGTCGCAGTATTTAAAAGGCATTTTGTAGGGAAACGCTGTGTTATGACTGAACTTTTCACAAAAAAGATAGAAATGTCAGCCCAATGAAGTATCACTTTTGTTTACTGACATAGACCAACTGATGTGGCTTAGGAAAGGTTTAAGTCCATTAAGCAACATGTAGTAGACGCGGAACTCCTCCTGGGGCTCTCCGAGGCTACTTCTAGAATCAAGCCCGTGTAAACGGGGGTGTAGGGTCAGTAACCACACCTCGTAAAAATTAACCTCATTGAGAAACGCTAACCAAATAAAATCACTCAAACCATCTAAACTCTAGACTGTAAGTTGAAAGGTCTTCATATGGAAGGGTTATGACAGTTCATGGTAAGAGCCAAGATCCGTCAAAAGATACGAGGTCAATACTACTAAGAACTAGGTCACTAATTAGTATGGGTACATGGAATGTCTGGACAGTGTAGGAGACCGGGAGTTACTCAAAAAATCCTGAAGTATAGCACAGCAAGAACCAGCTAAATCATACTTGGTGGTGAGGCCCTGAAAGAAGTAGAAGCCTTTACATCCCTGAACAAAACCACTGATAAACAAGGAGTACCTGAAGAAGTTAAGTCAGTCAGCTACAACATAGGACCAAGCACATATGTGCATCAGTCCAAGTTGCCATACCTCATAAGCACAACAAGATGAACACCGGATTCATAGAAGTAGTTAAGGTACAAGCTGGCAAAGCAGAGCAACGTCCCTACAATTAAAGACTATCCGAAGCTCAAAAGAACTGTGACCCAAAACCGGTCAGATCTTTCAACACTAAATTAACTCATTTACTGGGTACTAGGCATGAGCCACACTCCAATTGCACAAAGGCTAATGATACTACTCGGTTACCCATACCTTATATTGCAGAATCTTTGACCATTTGTATGTTAAAACCTGATTTGGGGGCACAAAAACAATTGATTAGATCTCTCATCAAAGGTTTTGCTTGTGGTCTTGTTCATTTAATTGTTTCGTTTTTTACACTCTTCACTCCCCCATTTATATACATGATTCTAGTTTATTACTATAAAGGTTGTTTTGACCCCGATTGCTTGATTACTATTTATAAATCACTTTCATCTTAACGTAACGATACAGTTATATATATATATATATATATATATATATATATATATATATATATATATATATATATATATATATATATATTCAAAATAATGTAGTCAAATTTTATATAACTAATCAAATTCTAACAAACATAATGTTTGCTGACCTATAATTTATCACCTACATACGACTACATAGCTTCGAAAATGAAATGATTGAAAAGGGTTATATTGCTAAATAAACTTAATGGTTTACTGGGTATATTCCAGTTGAAAACAGTTAGGTGTCAAAAAAATGAAAATCGTAAACAACATTAACAGAAATTTCTAGGTACAGCTACTCTAAACCAACTAGAGATTAGACGAGTCTCAGACAAAATATAGACTACAAGTTAGGAACTAGGACTTATTGAGACAGTGCTGAAAAGACATTAAGTTAAGAGTTGACAACACACCGACTTCGCATTATGCGTTTTGCAACTTATCTCTGGTTACAATTCTGCCATCAGCAACTAGAACAACAAACTGTAAGGGATATCAGATGATAAAGGAAACTTAAAGGAAGCCGATAGAAATTAGTGCACCAATTCACGAAGATATATATTGTTTTCAGTTATGTGAACAACGCTATCATAGCTAACAGTTATTTAAAGCGATGTAAATGATTTCATTTCTTATCTATCTCTAATTACTTAAAATGGTGTTACTTTGAGGTTTATGTTTTGAATCTAAATCAGTTTTAACCTTTTACCTTTTAGTTCTTCGCTATTGTCAATAAAACAATGTGTACTACCACAACCACTGACCTTTTGCCTCTTCATTGATGTCAGTCAGTCAATCAGCTACAACGTAGGACCAGGCACATATATGCATCGGTCCAACTTGCCATTCCTCATTAGCACAGTAAGATGAAAAAGTAGTTAATTCAGTGGAGGTAATGTATAAAAGAAAGATTGCATATGAGGATATAATACAGGAATAAAGAAATGGTTGGTAGAAAGAAAGATATAAAGTAATTTTAATCTCACGGTTTAAGAGAAGACAAAGAGTTTATGCACCGACGCCATTGTGATCGATTCTAAGCCAAATCACCCAGAATCCCCAACCAATGGTTAAGATAGTCACGAGGACCACAACCATGTAGTCTGCATCTACCAACTTAGCTCAGACCAGAAGTTAGTGATTTCAAGCGCTGATGCCACGTTTTGGTTTGGCCGCCCCTCACTTCCTTCCAACCATCCCCAACACTAGTCAGCATTGTGCGTCGTGGTAATCAGTGTTCAGGCATATGTAACACGTGGCCCAACCATCTCAGTCGATGAACATTCACAACCTCATCAACTGATTTACCATCATTACCTAATATCCTGCGTCTAACCTCACTATTACTTACCTAGTGATCCCAGCAGATGCGAGCAATATTTCTAAGGCATCTGTGGTCAAATACTAGCAACTTACGAATATCTTCTACTCTTAATGGCCACGTTTCGCAGCCGTAAAGTAGAACAGAACGAACTGCCGCGCAGTATACTCGTCCCTTAATTGATAGACGGATATCTCACCTTCGCCATAGGTGACGTAAGTTGGCAAAAGCCAAGCGAGCTTTTCGAATCCGTACTGAGATATCGTCAGACATCAACCCATTAGAGCTGGTCACATTTCCAAGGTAAGTGAAGTTGTCAACGCGTTTGACTACTTCACTCCCTATCCTTAGTTTAAGTGTTGACGACCGTTATCAAACAAGATTAAGCCTTAAGGTTTGTAGTTTAAAATCTATTACCTCACCTGTAAATAAACCTGAGCAGCACATGGAATAAGAGAAGCATCGAGTGTCAGTAAGTGCTCGGCTGCGTGTCTGTATGTTTCTAAGGCACCTTCACCAATTAATTCGGTATCAAATAATTCTGCAACCAACACGTTAGCTTTGCACGGCATATCTACTCCAACAATTAAGTCAGTGGAGCGCTTCGGTATGATGTTAATTTTGTCACTAAACCCATTGTTCCGTAATATATTGAGTGCGCACGTTGCCATTGGAATAAAGGATTCACAGGCAGTAACTAAATCAGCTCCAGCATTAACAGCCATCATACTCAGTAAACCAGTTCCAGTTCCAATATCGAGCACATGGACAGGATTTTGTGGATACTGCTGTTTAAGACGTTTAATGGTGTGTTCGATAGCTAATCGATACTTATGATTTCGATCGGAATCATGAAGCATATCACCATATCCAGACCGAGCTATTTCTTGGTTAAATTCATAATCTGGATCCACATCTTTCCACTGCATTCTTCCGACGACAGGATTAAATTGTGGAATAAAAATATGCTCTGTCTTCATTGACGGTAGTCGCACTGTCAAACTTCGACAGTAGTGAGATGTTAAACTTGAGAAACGAAGTAACTTAATGGTAATTAGTGATATATTGTAAGAAACTGTTGCTGCTACCACTACTGCGAAACTTCTGAAGTGTGGGAAAATGGATATTTAAATGTCTGGATAAAAAGTTAATCATACAAGTAAAACTTCAGACAAGAAGACTAGAATTACATACGCATATTATATCGCCGAACTAGGAAAGCACTGAAATAAGATAGTGCGAAAGAATTTTGAATGTAGGTCACTTTGATCAGCTAGCTACCACATATCTACAGATATGTTGGTCACTTTACTATTTTTTTAGGTATCATTACCAGGGTTTGACTTGATAATTTCGAATAAATTGAGCATTAGGTAGATTGTTATAAATATATTTATATATTTGTAATATCCCAATGAGTAGGAAAATTATACTCTGAAAAGGTGGCTTACACTGAGTCACGAAACGTCAGAAAATTTAATTTTTCTAGTCATTGGGATATTACAAATATATTAATTTACTGTTTTGTTTAATACTTTTAGGAGCAGCGATACCACTTGTTTACAAAAAATAAAAGTCACCATTAGGTCACAGAGCATGACCTAGTCGCGATGTTATATTAATAAGACCCAGTCTACACATGCTTGCGTCTCACTCGACTAACTCGCATGTTTATCACTAGGATAGAAGAGTACATACTCCAAAAAGGTTTAAAATACAAGTGACGCCTCAAAACTAGAACTCTTCGCCACATTAGAGTCATCACTCAAAACTGCCGGAATAAGTAAAGGAACTCAACAGGAAATAAGACAAACCATAGTATCGCTAACCCAATGGAAGAAAGACAACACCCAACTGACTTCACAAGAACAAAAAGTTTTAAAGAAACTCAGGACTAGAGAAAATATTGTCATAGTTCCAGCGGACAAAGAACGCGCTAGTGATTATGGACAAGAAAGAATATATCAGGAAAGCCGGGGAACTACTTGAAGATAAAAGTGTATACAAACCGACGAACTCAAATACAGTCAAAAGATAAGACAACCAAATCTCAAGGACTTTAAACGAGCTTATCAAAGAAGGAAAAATATCAAATCAAGATCAATAAAAAATGAAATCCATAGGACCAGTACTCCCTCGATTCTACGGTAGGCCGAAAATACACAAATCAAGCATCCCACTACGTCCAATCGTAGCACTGCCTGGAACCCCAACATACAATTTGCCAATAGAAATCTCACGAATATTGAGACATTTGGTGGATTCATCTAGTCACTCCATCAAATCTCCCATACAATTCCTGAATCAGATTAAGGACATTCAAATCCTAAACGACGAACTGATGATATCCTTCTATGTAACAGCTTTGTTCACCTCAATTGAACCAAGCTTAGCAAAGGAGACTCTATCCCTGTTTCTCACCAACGACACAAATCTCGCAAAGTACACGAAGCTTCGAAGTCAGAGTTTACTAGAACTCATCAATTTGTGCTTAATAACATATTTCCATAACAAAATCTAAGAACAAACGAAAGAAACACTGATGGGATCATCAATATCATGACTTGTTGCATAATCAGCGGTGCGGAGATTATTATTTAAACACCTAAACATTGGTACTAGAGGGTACCAAATAGATATGCGCCCCACAAGTCTTTTGATATTTGTATGGGCTGTGATACTGCCCGGGTACCCAGACCGAAGCAGGGATATAGAAACTGGAAGCCTCGATTTTACCAGTGATCAAGCCAAAAATTTTGGATTCGTTATGTGGACGACACATTCATCATAGTCAAAAAAGACGAGCTGGGAAACACCCATAATCTGGTCAACGACGTCTTTGATGACATCAAATTCACAATGGAACAGAAGTCAAGCAACAAAATATCATTCTTGGATATATTATTCACCAGAACCGACACATGGGAACTGAAGACTCAACTATATCGGAAGCCAACCCACACGAATCAAATCCTCAATTACAGTAGCAACAAACTAAGAGCTCACAAAACCAACTGCGTACAAACTTCGTTCAAGAGTGCGAGGACACACTGCAACACACTTGTAGCGCAGAAAAATGGAGAAAAAATACCTGAAGACTATATTTCAAAGGAACGGCTACCCAATCAACATAAAAAAATACCAACCAAATGCATCAGCACAAACAAAATTAAGTACAGAAACAAACAAACAGAACATTCTACCATATATGAAAGGCATGTCAGAAACTAAAAGATTGTTGAAACCTTTTGGAATAGGTGCAGCACACAAACCAACAAAATCACTCCAATTAATCCTATACAAACCATAGGACAAAATGACAACAGAAAAACCGAACATCTACAAAATAAATTGCTCCAACTGTGAGAACCACCACGTTAGATAAAGTGGACACCCTCCTCGTTTTCCCTTGCACGAACATTAGTTAGCGGTTAAACGCAATGACATATCCTCGCTTTTATCAATGAATGTGGACACACATTCGACTAGATGTTGAGACCTTGGATGGAAGTGATTCCAAAAGGACCAAAGAATTTATAGAAGCTTGGTACACAAATCAATTAGTGGTCAGCAAACACATTGAAACCTATCCAAATTACTAACAAATCAAATAAATTACGGACAAATATAGGACCAAGGATCAAATCAATGGGAGACACAATCAAAATAAAGTAAACAATGACAGGGTAAAGGTCAACAATGACCAATCAACGTCGAGGTCTACAGGACAGGCTGTTATATGTGGAGAAATTCGAACACTTCACTCAAGTTTGTGCTGCTGATGACGTTCAGAATAGTGATGAAAGCTCAACGTTCAAACCATCCAGCTCAGAGAAAAATACTCCATCGAAATCGCTAGAACCTTTCATACCTTTTTAGGAATATAGTGGTTTGCCATTTAACTCCCAGCACTTTAAAACCACAGAGATTTTAGCCTATAAGCCTGAGCCACTAAATTTGATGACGAATGACGGGAATAATAGCATGAATTATACACACCCGACCTACGTTTTCTAGCCAATCCCCCTCAAAAAAGAGACATAATATGAAAGTATTGAGTAAGCGATAGTACCTATTGAAAGTGTGGATTTTTATCGTGACTACACCATTTCATAACAAGTTCGTCTGATGACAACAAACTGTCGAGTGATAAATGATCCTTCTAATCATTTTACAGTCTCTAATACCTAAGAAATAATAACAAACATTAGGTTTGTCCCTAATTTACATTGTCGCTACGATAAATAGGACTTGCAGGTTAATCGCCTAACAGTCACGAGGAATGTAACGTTACCCTTATAATATTGCAATGATCAATCCTCAATCACTTTTTGGCGAATGAGTAACTTCAGTGAACCAAATGTTCTGCTATGAACTGAGTCGAACATTGAATCGCTGTAAAAAATGTGTGGTTCACAGGGACTGTAAAAATGGATAGACGATAATGGACTTACCTTTAACACTTCAAAGTGTAAAGTAGTCCATCTGCGACATGTCACAGACTACAGTTACAACTTAGGAAACTCCTCTTTAGTAGCATCCCAAGTCGGAAATGATTTAGGAGTCCTGGTGTCCTACGATTTGAAGTCTTACGATAACTGTGACAAAATTGCCTTCTGAGCGAACCTTGCACTGGTAACATCGAAACACATTTTGGCCAGTTTGACGGAAGAACTTTCCATATAATCTTCAGTAGTTTTATCCGTCCCCATTTAGAGTACGGAAACAGTATTTCCTACCTCACTCCAAAAGGATAAGGACACTCTTGAGCGTAGCCAACGGCGAGCCACGAAATCAGTTCGTGGACTCAAATTTAAACCTTATGAAGAGTGCCTCCAATCACTTAACCTTTACCCAAAAGAGTATAGGCGTCTTAGAGGTGACCTTCTAATAGCTTACAGTATCCTTGACACTTCTGGACATCCTCTTAAACACCTACTTAAGCTTAGTTCTAACACTAACCTAAGGGGTAACACCCAGAAACTGGAGACACAACATAGCAGAACGGACTGTAGACACAACTTCTACTCCTTAAGAGTTGTCAAATGCTGGAATTCGCTGCCGGCTGAGCTAGCCCAAGCGACTTCCCAGGAGTCCTTTAAGAGGCAACTTGATCTATTCTTAAGGATTAAGGATAGTATCGCACTATGATTTATTAATTTCTTTTCCTGTTTTATTGTTAACATATCTAGGTTCCTGCCTGGAGGATTCGGTGATCCCCTGCTACTAGACACGAAAGCCTGTTAAGCGAAAGCTTCTTCTATTCCGTCCACAACCATTTGAACCACTTATGAATCCGTGTTGAGAGATGAACAAATATCTATCGAAAGAATATTGTCGATGTTGTGAGTCGCAAACTACCTAGATATTTCTGTCAGCTAAAACTCAGTCTTGACTCGTTAATAGATTTAGGCAGTCATATCCCAAACAAGTGGCAATGCGACGTAAAGGAGAAAGATTACGTGAGTTCCTGTCTGTTTTTCTTCCTTGTCATATGATGCTGGTGAAAATATCTTTTTGAATTAAATTTAGACGAAACCAGCACTACTTCTGCTTTGAAGGCATGAGATTTTATATTATTCCCGCAACTTTCGACCACTGGGGATCTGTTCAACTTTATCCCTAAAACAGAAGAAATAGTCAACCTTTGAGTTTTAGATGGTTAAGAAGATTTGTAGCTCAGGTGGATGATTTTGATGGAGTTTTGTTCTCTGAGCTGCATGGTTTAGTCATGTAGCTTTCATAGTTCTTCTGTACGACGTTGCCTGACGTTTGTGCTGATGATGAGGTTCAGAATGATGATGAAGGCATCACGACTAAACCACCCAGCTCAGAGAACAAAACTCCACCGTAATAGTCAACATTTTGGTCTATTTTCTCCCGAGTTCACACTAAATTTTAAAACTTGATTTCCCCTTTATCCACCTTTTCGTTTTGTTGGATGGTCCCGTACTCACAATCGTGTACAGTTTACCGGCGT